CCCCAAAACCCCAAAACCCCATACTATTTAAAGATTGAGATAATTAAATACCTTAGGATAAATATTCTAATATAATAAAATAATCAAAAGCTTAATCACTAGAATTAGGAATATTAAAAATCTTGAAATTGTGTTTGCTCAATTCGTGATGAATTATTTATTAACTCTAAATCTGTTCTTAAATCAAATTATTCTCTTTTTCTTAAATCTATAACCCTATCATTATTGCTCGTAAGTCGTTAATATAGATTAGTCTTCTTACTCCTTTCATTAGTTAAAGATAACAAGATTTTTTATCTTTTATTATTTTATCTTTGTTTTTACGGATTAGAATCAAGTCTTAAAGATTTTTATATTTAATTTTAAGGCAGTTTTATTTCATTTAGAATTGACTTTTTAATATTTGTTTTGTACCATTTAAAAAGTCCTAATCGTCTTTTTATAAATTCGATGTTATTGATTATTAAGATTCTTACGAAGCTAAACATCCAACGCATCAGAAATAAGATATTAGCGATTAGTATTAACGTAAAGGCTGTAAGTTGAAAATTTTAGCTCAAACCATTCTAAGAATCTATGAATATAACTCCTCCAATCAAAATAGATATCTATAAATGGTTGAGTTAATTAAATTTATTGTCATTAACTTACGGATGCATAGATGCTATAGCGATCAATACTATTCATTTAAGGATCTATATAAGGATTTCTTATGTAAGACATTTAAATTTCTACAAAAAGTATGAGTATCCCAACTAGTGCCTAAAATATTTAAATGAGCTATTAATTTTACTCTTGTTTATGGATCAAACGATGATAGAACAGATGAAAAAGATATAAATAGCAATTTTTTCCCATTGACATAAGTTAATTCCCAATAAAAGTTTTTATCTTAAAGACCACTATAGAATAGCCCATACTATTTAATTATCCTTTCATCTGATAGTTTATTTCTATATCTCCATAATTGAAGAGAAATGAATAGTGGAAAGCTCACTGACCAGAGAAATATGAATGGAATTGCTATAGCAAATGAGAATTAACTATGCTATTAAGTCCAGCATTAAATACTCATGTCAGATCTGAGATACTGATAACTATCATCCAAACTAGTACAACTAAATAAGGAAAAACTGATTTAAGTAATAATCGGATAGCAAAGATATGCAAAGAGAATGATTGAGGTCTTCATATTGGAAAAATAGTTCTTTTTATCCAAAAGTTTGAAAACTTTAGCTAAACTCCAAATAAGCCAAGCTATTGCACTTAATAAAATTGGAAGTATCCCATTTAGTATAGCATATAAATAGACTTGCTTTATAGTAGTTTCAATTCCTGAATTTCTTAGAAGACATTCAAATGATAAGATCTTCGAAAAACCTTGTCCACCAGTAGAAAAGTACTCTAGAAAAGTTAAAACTTTTTAAGGCCAGTTTAACTAGAACTCTTTTACCATCATTAATACCTGGAAGTAATTTGTAAGGATTCTCAACAAAAGGGTTTGAGGATTATTTCTCTTTGGTTTTTTTATGAGTGAGCTATAACATAATATAAATATAATATTAATTACTAAAGTATATAGATGATGTAAAGTGCCAACGCAATTATGATTGCAGTTAATATAGCTGCCTAAATTGCTAATGATAGGCATTTTTAGCAATCGTATTAACCGCTTCTTGCATAATATTCTCCATTTAGATCTTTAGAACATTCAGTGCACAATTTTCCTTCATATCCTTTCTCACATTCTGAATATTATCCTCCTCTTTAAAAATAATTTAGATCAAAAATTACAAGCAAACATCAACTTTAGGACATTGATATACTTAGATGGTATTGGTACTGCTTCTCCAAAAATTATTATCAACCAATGTCAGGTTACCTCCATCACATTTGATGTGAACTGGGCATGGTTTGCAAGTTTAATTTTCAACTGAAAGAGAATAAGTTCCCTTAATACATTAAAAGCATTTATTTTCAATAAGCACTTCTCCAGGATAGCATTCTCTGAATCTCAAGCTTATTATTAATGCTGAATCAAAATTCTAATCAAACTACTTAATGCTTTTTACATCAATTCCATTTGGAGTTAAGGCTTTGATTTAGAATTTTGAGGAGGGTTATCCAACTAGAAGTACATCCTTAACATAAAAGATGCCTTTTACTGCTTCAAATAAAGTGTTACCACTGACTGATAAACCATCACTATATGAGGATAAAAATAGCTGACTTTTATTATCTGTATTTATCAGTTATTAATCTTGGTCAAATATTCCCAATTGTAATGATTTCGAGCTAAGCAACCCACCACTAATTAATTGACTTAAGAAAGTAGTATCTTGGTTCAATATTTTGAGTTTATAGCCATATGAAGCAAAATCATTACCATATTAAGCGCTATTATTTAGGTAGAGGTTATTTTCTAGATTAATAGGTCTATATAAATCATAGAATATTCCCCCTCCTGACTTTCCAGCTTCATTTTCAGTAAAATTATTGCCTATAATATCATAATTGCATTCTATATATAATCTTATAAATCATTAAATCTTACTAGTTTTAACTGGGCTTAAATTCGAGCATTTAAGGAATATAGCGCCACCATAATTTTATGCCTTACCATATTCTAGAAGTGATTCATTAATAAACAGATTTGAGTTATCTATCAAAATATGTCCTCCTTTGTCTAAAGCTAACCCTCTAGTAAAATTGCTTTAAATTAAAGTTAAATTGTAAACAACCATTTCATCTAAAGAAGATCTATGTAATATTGAGGAGCCTCCTAGTGATTTTAAATCCTGAAATTGACTTCTACTAATTTCAATATTAGAGTCAATAGCGTTAATTGCTAGTCCAAGTGAATTTAAATTTATTCCATTGCTAATGCTTAATTCTGTTAAGTTTGACTTGGTCTTAACTATTTTGAGTAATTATAAGTTGAAATCATCTATTTACATAATTTTTAATACTAATGAGCTCTCCCTTGCTCCAAGTAAATATTTGTTCTCTTAAAAACTTTTTATATTAGTTATTTCAATGTTTTCAAAGATTGCTTGTGTTAGTTAAATTTCTATGAAGCTTTAAATTTTTTCTGATAATTCTATGATTTCAAAGGATATTTGCTTTAGATTAAGTTTAGAAGATTAAGAATTCAAAAATTAACATGAAATCTCAGTTCCTCTTATATTTTTTATCAATAGCTGTGAGTTTGAACTAATTGAGATAAAACTGTTTTTACCTTTTATATCAGTTAAACTAAGATTTTAAATGTTTAATAAAGTTTCATCAACCAAAATCAGTGGTGTTTCGAGATTACCGATTTTCTTTATTGCAAATGATTTTAAATTTAAAATTGATTATGATTTACTTTAAATAAATGATGTTTGATTTATTATTTAAAGATTATTTTCAAAAGCTAATGTACCTTTTATCAACTAGATTCCATAATTTTATAACTGATCAATCTTTAAAGTATAATTTTTTTGCAAAATAAACTAGACATATTCTTAAAAATTAGGTGAATCAATAGTTTCAAATACTTATTTTAGGTCCAATGTTTTAACTATGTTATTTGATATTAATCCACCACTTATTAGGATAACTCCTTATGAATCTATAGAATAAATTATACTAGCAATAACAGCCATATTTCTTTATATATTACAATTTATAAGCTAAGCCATCCCATCATTTTATACAAACAATACTCCCCCAATTAAAGAAAAATTTTCAACAAAAGCACTATCTTTGATTTATATATTTCCATTTATCTAAGTGAATAAAATTCCATGGTATCCATAATTATTTTTGAATAAAGAATTTTCTACAACTATATTAGAGTTAGATCCCTCAATCATTATCACTGAGCCTCTCTCGAATCCATAATTATCTAAGAAAGAAATACCTGCCATAGTAATTGCAGCATAAGGCTTGACCAATAATAATGATGATTTTCTGCCATAGTTTCCTGCTATAATAGTATCTGCTACATGAATTAGTTGTTGAAGATTATTTTAAGGCATATTAGGAATGAAATTGAATAATCTTCCAGAGTTATTTCTTATTTCAGCTTTATTTATCAATAAGATTTTGGAGAGATGCTTGAACTCAAAAAGTGATGCCTCTCCTAAAATATTTCTTATTATTTTGAAATTACTTAATGTAGCATTCATATTTTCAAATTCTATATCTTCTATCTAAATCATTGAATATTTGTCTACTTTAAAACTGTCAGTTATTGATATGTTATTAAGTTCTAATTATATTTAATCATCTATAGATTCGAAGCTAATTTGGCTAAGCTTGAAGAATGAAATCTGAGAACTTTCGATTAAAACCTTGTTTAATTTGAATGAATAAGAAACTTATTCTTTTATTGGGAGTAGCTGATATAGATCAATTAAGTATAACTTTACTATAGGGGTTTTAAGAATGATATTTACATTCATTATTCTTTGAAAGATTTACAAGTTACAAATTTTCAAAAGAAATTTCAGTTGAATGTTGTATTGACATTAGATTCTATGAGCTCACTGAACTGTTTTAAACTCTAATGATCAATATTTAAACACTTTCACTGTCTTTAATATATAGCAAACTCGATGTCCCAAGTCCTGAATTTATCAAGCTTATGTTTTTTATATAAATAGACTAAGAACTTTCTATCTTTATATAAGAAAGATCTCGAGCTAGGAAATCTATAATTTAGTTAAAGGGATAATTCTAATTACTATTTGAAGAGATATTCTTAAAAAATATATTTTCTAATTTATGATTTTCTCCTTCAATCAATATGCCTGTAGATAGTTTTGAGTCCTCTATGTATATGTCCTAGGCAAGAAATATGATGACTTGAATAATTTACTTTTATAAAAACATCTTTGGAAATTATCCAAAAAATAGGCATCTAACGATGATTGGTAACATTCTTAAAGGTATTATTCGTTATGATAACTTTCATTTTATCTGTTCTATCTTTTAGATCTAAATAAGACCAGCCA